TACTAATTCTTCCGAACAGAATGCATTGTCTCTCGTTGGGATCGGACAATTGGGTGGTGCAAACGTCATGCACGCACCGCCCCACATCGTTTTCGGATTGCGCCCACAGTTTGTTAGTACAAATTCTAATATTTGACAGGGTGAGAGTACTAATTGAGTACTAATTCCTGGCGAGTAGTACAATTCCTCTCGCCATTGGGTGGTGCCTACTTGACAGAGCTCCTTAGGTCGAACTTGGCAGTTTCTTCACGGCGATTGACGGAAGTACTTTTTGGCGACCCTTGACGCTTCTGCTCCGCGTCCGCAGCTCAGCGCCACGCTCGGCATCCACGCGGGCCTGCCGCCGTCCGGCGCGGGCAGCAGGCCGGGCAGCATCTACGGGGGCTTCCCCTCGTCGTCGGGGGCGGGAGGCGGCTCGGGGGCGGCCGGCATCGACCCGGCGCTGCTCGACCAGCTCATCACCTCGCTGCTCGGGGTCCAGGCGGCTAACGTGGGCTCCAGCTCGCACCCCAGCGCCGCGCAGGTGAGCGGTCACCGCCAGCACGAGACCGTCATCGGCGTCCTACTGGACCACCACCGGGCGCTGCTCGACCGGTGCCACAACCTCTTCTGTTGCAGGTGACCGCGGGCCTCAGCCGCTTCCGGCCGCTGTCGCGTTCGCTGCGACCGGGATCAACGCGGAGGGTGGGCAGCGTGAGGGGCAACCGAGGAGGGGGCGGCAACGCGCCTGCAGGTGGGGCAACGGTGCGCGTCCAGGCCTGGAGGGGGAGCTGAGGTAAGTGCAGCGGCGGGCGTCCACGACGTTGACGACCTTCCTCTTGTGTCCGGCAGTCGTCCCAGGCGTGAACGGCGACGCCCCCGCGAGCGTCCCGGCGGGGCTGCCGTCCGGTTTGCCGCCCGGACTGCCGCCCGCGCACGGCGGGCCGTCCCACTCCGGCCTGGCGGGCCACGCCGCGCTGCCGACCATCGAGGAGGGCAGCCTGGGCCGCCTGGCTGGGCGCAACATCCGCCGCGAGCGGCCCATGTCGCTGACGGAGCGCGCGCTCAACGCGCCCGCCGTGCGCGCCGTGGTGCAGGCCATGCAGGCCGCGCCGCAGCGGCTCCACCACGCGGCCCACGGCGGCCACGCCGAGGACCCGCTGCTCGAGTCGCTGCCGCCCAGCCCCAGGATAGGGCGCCGGGGCTCCGAGACCAGCACCACCCTCATGTAGCGGCGCAAGCGAGCGCGAGTGTGTGTTTTTGTATTGCTATCTTTATTTACGGACTGTCCAACTGCCGGACCCCATTTGCTATTAAACTGCATGCTCTCCAAGTTGTCGTTTGATTTTCTTCCCCCCTTGTGTCCTCCTTGCCCCCTCCCCAGTTCTGGCCCCCGGCGAGGGTAAAGGGTCCGGGAAGCAGAGTCCCTCTCGGCTCTGTGGCTGTGTCGGGCTGCAGGCTCCCCAGGGGTGGGGGAAAGGGGAGAGAGGGAGGGATCGAACTAGATTCATGTCGCGTATATTGTTGAGGAGCCTCTCTGTCCCTGCCAGCACTGCAATGTAGAGCTCCAGGAACTCCCAAAGTACACTCTCGGAGAAGCCAATACAGCCGGCGGCGGGGGGGCGCGGAGGCGTGGCGAGCACGGCTCTCTCCGCCGAGCTCTCCACCTCCGCCCGTGGCCCTCCCGCTCCCCTCCTCCTCCCGCCCTCGGCGGCACACATACGCCACCGCCGCTCGCCCTCCTCATCCCCCAAGCAAAGCCACCCCCGCCTCACACGTGGCAGAGCTCCGTACTGGACGGACCTCGGCCACTCGCTCACAAATAATGTGACCCGGCAGCAGCCGGGCAGCGATACGAGGACTTCAGTTCCGAGTAGTTGGATACCGCAAATCGATGCGGGAGCGGGTGAGAACCGACCCGTCGGGTGGAGCGGTACGGGCAGGTGCACTGGGAGCGGGAGGGCGACGGGTGAAGTGAATGAGGGGGTCGAGCTGTTACCCCTGGGGCAGAGAGTGCCCTGCGGAGTGGGTGGTGGCTTCTATGACTGAGTACTCCAGTATCCACCCCCCTCTCTCTGTCTCTCTGTGTCTGTCTCTCTTTCCCGCCCTCTCTCTCTCCCTCTCCCCCATCCCCTCTTCATCCTCCCTGTCTGTCTCTCTCACTCGCTCTTCCCCACTTCCCGACCGGATATACGCCAGGCATCAGTGGCTGGCAGCAGCAGTAGCTGCTTGGGGAGCTTTTACCTCGGATTGCTTCATCAAATGATGGCGACAGAGAGCACTAAGCGGGCTCCCCCTTGTCTCATCAAGCCCTGACCGTGAGCCCCTATTTCACGGTGCCCCGGACGAAAGTTCCTCGTTATGTTGCACCCTGTCCTTCGCAACGCAGACCAGCCACCGCCGCGCCGCCCTTTGGAAAGACGAGGAAAGCGGGGCGGCCAGGATAAAAGCGGATGAAAGTGACTCGATCGTAGCACGGCCGGATTCGTTTCCCCTTTCTTCCTCCTCATTTTTCCTCTCTATGGATTTTTTTAGCTCGTCTTCTGCCTGCTCCCCCCCTCTCCCACTCGCTTTTTCATGGCCGCCAGATATCGGTCCTACCATCACAACGCGTCACTCAACACGGTAGTGAGGCCCAGGCGAGGCGGCCGGGGTATAGGGGAGGGTGGGGGGGGGGGGGGGCACCTGTCTCTGTCACGAACCCACCCACGCTATGGGTGCGGCGGGGACGGACGGACTGCGGTACTGCGGCGTCGGATGCAGCCTCCCGCGGCACGCCACGCCCCGCTCCGCCACGCCCCGCCACTGCAGCATCAGCGGCGACTCGTGGTCAGTGCTCGCCATGACGGCCTGGTGTCGACTACTCCTCCTGGTGGCCGTGGGGCTTCTCGCGCCCGCCCGGGCCGAGGTAAACAACGACGAGCTCCAACACAAATTCATGTCGTAAACTTTTTTTTTTAATCCTTATGAAAAACTCGCACTTTTTTTTCTGCGTCGGCGGCTTTGCAGTTGACGGTTTTCACTCTGTCTCTGTTCTATATTAAGATCGCCTTACAGCCCGTTGGGCGGGGAAAGTCCTTTGTTAGATCAAAAAAAAAAAAAAAGAGGGAAAAAAGGGAGCTATGGTTAACGAGGATCGTGATCATGATGCCGTGTGGTTGCGCAGCGGTCCTTCACGCTGTTCATCGAGGCCGCGGGCATCGACGAGTCCAGCCCGGACTGGTTCGGCGCGGACAAGACGTGGATGAAGGTGCGCACCGTGAACAAGACCATGAACGTGGTGGAGTGGGACCTGGACCTGCTCAAGGAGCTGAGCAGCGCGGTGCAGGTGAGCCGTCGTGTGTCTTTTGCTGCCCTTCAATGCACAGGACGAATCTACCGAAACAATCAAAATAAATCAATAGCCAAATAAAGAGACAACACTTGACGGCTGTACGTGCTGAAAACGTGTTTTTTCTTTGGGCGCAGTCCAAGTGGGTCATGATGGAGAAAGCAGACGGCGGGTACCGGCCGAGCAGCATCAAGGGCAGCGCCACGGTGTGTGACGACCTGCACAGCAAGAGGCCGGCCATCAAGGCGCTGGGCTACTCGCGCTCCAGCCTGCCCAAGAGCTGTCCCATCAAGGAGGTATGCGCGAGACGGAAAGCGCAGGCGTTGTGCAAAACATCTTCGGCGCCACCGCCCGCACTCACTCTTTATCTCTCAATGTGTTCGCTCCGACAGGGGCTGTACTCGCTGCGCAACCACATCCCGAACGAGAACTACTTCCCCGTCATCATCCCCGGCGACCAGTGGCGCCTGTCCAACACGTGGTCGGCCGAGGGCAAAACCGTCCTCAAGTTCCACCTCGACATCAAGATCGACCGGACCAGAAAGCTGCAGGGCTAGCCGACTCGCGTACGAATCTATTATTTCAACCAAACTGCTACCAAAATTGGTTTTATTTAAATAATTTTTGGTCACTTTACAAGGTTTTTTTTCCGGTGTGTGTGTGTTTTACAATCATTTTTCCTCTGGATAAAACTGCCGCGGGTGCGCGGGCGGCAGCGGCGCGCGTCAGCCCAGGAAGATCGGCCCGAGTCTGATAACGTCTCCGCAGTCGAGGATTATTAATGCGTCCTGGACCCCCGCGATTAATTTATCCTCTGGCTTGGCGAGGCGAGGCGTGGCGTGGCGTGGCGCGCGGCCGACTGCGGGGCGGCGCGATTCATGAGGTGACGATTTTAGCCGAGGCAGGGCAGGGCAGGTCGGCAGGCTCAACTACTGGCCGGGACGTTATCGGAAAGGGGGTTGGGGTGGGCGTTATAATTACAGAGTCCTTGGGAAGGGATCGCGATCGAGAGGAGGGGGTGCGGGCCAGAGCGAGAGAGACACGGAGAGATGGAGAGAGCGTGTGTGAGCGAGACAGGGAGGAAAAATAATGGGGAAACAGTGAGCGAGAGAGAGAAAGCGTATGTGAGAGGGAGCGAGGGAGAATGGGAAAAGCTAGGGGCGGGCCTTGCCTTGTCGCGGCACTATCTCCAACGTGTCGCCACGGACCGCGCGCGCAAATCTAATTCGCCCGGCTAAAACCAATTTTCTCCGCGGCATTATTCCCCGACATCTTGTTATAGAAACAATTTTGCTAACGTGGTTTTCGTCGCAGATTCGATTTTGCGTCGAGTTTGCGCGAGAGAGCCGTCTTAAGTAAAGAGGACGCCGAGAATGG